TTAGTAGAGATGGGATTTTGCCATGTTGGCCAGGCTGGTCCTGAACTCTTGGCCTCGAGCCATCTGCCCATCTCAGCCTCCCAAACTGCTGGGATTACAGGCATAAGCCATCTTGACTGACCTGATTTATCTTATCATTCCATAATCTATTAAAACTTCAGCTTGATTTTGCTGGATTTGGTTTTAGTTTCTCTCCTCCCTTTCCCCAGAAGATATCAAAACCTCAATTTAATTTTATCTAAATTTAGCCTCAAACAAAAGCAGATTGCTATGCTTTGCTAACTTTCTCTCAGCTTTTGGCTTGGCAATTTCATTAACATTTGCTAATTGCTAATTTCTAATTTTTGAAATAAACAAAAATTAAAAATAGAATTATCATATAATCCAGCAATTTCCCTTCTAGAATACCCACAAGAACTAAAAGGGATTTAAACGGGTATTTTGTTCATCCATGTTAATGGCAGCCTTATTCACAATAGCCAAGACACAGAAGCAACCAAATACCTACCCACAGATCAAATGTTGTCTATATAAAAACAGAATATATTCAGCCTTAAAAAGGGAATTTTGACACACATGCTACAATGTGGATAAATTTTGATATTATGCTAAGTGCACTAAGTTTGTCACAAAAGGACAAATTCTATGTGATCCCACTTACAAGGTACCTAGAGTAGTCAAATTCATATAGAATGTAAAATGGTAGTTGCCAGAAGCTGACAGCAAGAAAGAATGGGAAATTATAGTTTAGTGGGTATAGAGTTTCAGTTTGAGAAGACCAAAAAAGTTCTGAAGATGGATGGTGGTGATGATTATACATTTTGATTGTTATTTAATGCCATTAAACTTACATTTTAAAATAGTTAAAATGTTCATTTTTGTTATGTATGTTTTATAATTTTCAAAAATATTTACGGTGAGTTTTCTTACCTGCCCATTTATTATAAACACATAAATACATTAATAGTATTTATATGCTTAACAAGGACATCTTCAGAAACTGCTTTGTGGTTTAAGTGTCAAGTCTGAAATACCATTAAATAGTCTAAGCCCTTACTCGTAAAAACCTCTGAATCCAAAAGATTTTTCTTCATATAGAACTATGTGAAGAAAAAATAACAAAGGTATTGGAAAACAGCAATACATAAGAAATAAAATTAGGCCTCATTTGATATTCTACTCCCAGGGTCAAAAGGCTCATATATATACATTTCACATTACGTCAATCCAAATACCTTTGAATCAAAGCTATTTCATATACTATAATATAAAATTACATCTCCAAGTAATTTAAAAAATCAATAGTAATATTCTCAAACATGAGTAACATTAGAAACCTTAAATTTGGGCCGGGCGCGGTGGCTCAAGCCTGTAATCCCAGCACTTTGGGAGGCCGAGGCGAGTGGATCACGAGGTCAAGAGATAGAGACCATCCTGGTCAACATGGTGAAACCCCGTCTCTACTAAAAAATATAAAAAATTAGCTGGGCATGGTGGTGCGTGCCTGTAATCCCAGCTACTCAGGAGGCTGAGGCAGGAGAATTGCTTGAACCCAGGAGGCGGAGGTTGCAGTGCCGAGATCGCGCCATTGCACTCCAGCCTGGGTAACAAGAGCGAAACTCCGTCTCAAAAAAAAAAAAAAAAAAAAAAAAAAAAAAAAAACCTTAAATTTATAGAATTTCAGAATGTATTTTATAAAAAGTTCAATTAGAAAATACTTTAAAAGTTGGATTCTTAGTTTTATAAGCATCAATTGAGTACTTTTCATCATAAGCCTATTTATAGTTAAGGGTTTAAAAAAAAAAAAAAAAAAAACTTCTTAGAAACCACTAACACCCTTTCCAAAGGGTGAGTTACTCAGGCACCAAAAATAATGAAGGGGAGAGGAGAGGGAAAGTGAGAAGGAAGATGGAAAAAAGGAAAAATGTTTTACTTATGAAAGCTCCTCAAGCTCTCCTTACCACTCTTAGCTAGTCTATGATCACCTCAGAAACAAGTGTATCCACACGCATCTTAATCCATTTCATGCTGCTCTTAAAGAACAGGCATATTTTCTTCTCCCATAGTAAGATCCCTCCATAACTTTGTGATAAGGTGTTTCTACATTTCTCACCTGTAGCTCCTTCCTTTCCCTTTATTTTAATAAAGATGCTTAAATTTCCTCCATCTAAGAAACAAAAATATTTTCCGTGACTTTGTGTGTCCCTTTTACCAGTCTTTAAAATCAGTGGCCTTGAAGGGTAATCTTGACTCCCTCTCTCTACTTCTCCAATTCTCCTATTAACCCACTCTTACCTCTTTCTGCATCATGCTCTTGTCAAAGTCTCTCTTGCCAAAGTCTCAACACATTACTGACAAAACCAATAGGTATTTTCAGCACTCTCTTTGGCATATGAAACAATAGACCACGTTTCCTCAAAATGTGCTACTTCTCCTTCAGTGTTATTATTCCTCTTATCTGCAATATAGTCTAGTTTCTATGCTCCTGGTTAAACAGATTTATAGATTTTTTATACATATTATCACAAACTGTAGAATCTTTATAAAACATTTTAATGAAATCAGGAGTCAGGAGTATCCCCCCCAAATCTTTTGTTTTACATGGTAGTTTGCTGGTTATCTGGTAACAAAGCACTTATAAAGAGCTATTAAACTTAAATATAAATTATGTATTTTAAATAACTATCAACCATTCTAAATTTGATCACTTTCTCTTTGATTAAAAGTAGATAAAATATTACATTATCTAGCAAATGTTCGAAAATAAATACCTTTCCTTCAAGGGAAATATGATATTTTGACAACAAATGGGAAAATAAATGCTTTTTGAAACACACATTATGTAGAAACTATTTTAAAAACACTTCATTGTTGCCAAAAATATCATTAACTAAAACACACATCAGCATACTTCAAAAACTTGAAGAACAAAATTGATATCTTCTTTTAAATCTATCAAAACATTTTCATAGGTTTTGAACTTGTTAGAAACTTTCAAAAACAAACCTTTCAATTACTTTGTAACAACAACTAACCGACATGAGGAAAAACAGTATTCAGTAGCTGATTTCAACAACAACCTCTGAACTACTAGTAGACAGAATAAAAAAACATAATTTAGTAAGCATGGCTAATTTTCCATTTCTTTCATTTGGATCTACATATCTTCATGAGGCATCTTTTTCAAGTGTAACAGTTATTAAAAACCAGTATTCAAACAACTGCACACAATTCCATTTTTATTACATGATATTTTATTAAATAGTTACATGTTTCACTAACCAGACTGTGAGTTATTTACAAGTGAAGACTTTTGTCTTAATATTTGTGTCCCTAGGACTCTATGTGGCACACAATAAATAATTATGCAATCAATGCTTTGCAAATGAATGACCAAAAATACAGGCAAGTATAATAATTCACACACACATCAACAGAAACATGTAACTATGTGTGTAACTGTGTAATACTTGATTAGGTAAACAAAGTATTATCTAAAATGGGATTAGCCCCAAATCACAATGCTTATACACCAATTTGATGTGTTTTATGACTCAACTTAAAATTCATTCAGCTACATTATAACTCTCCTAATTAGGATATGTTCTCATAAATGAAAATATCATAGTTGTCCTATGCAATATATAAGAATCTTTATTTTCAACGTGTTTTATCAGTGATATGAGGAATGAATATAAAGTTGAGAAAAAAATGAAGCAAAACCAATAGAACTGTTCCCACAATAGAACAATGGATACATAACATAAATAAAACAGTAAAAGTATCAAAGATTAGATGTTCAAAATAACTAATTAGAAATAAAAATCAAATGTAAGCTTTTTCCTTTTATTTATTTATTTGGAGACAGACTCTCACTCTGTTGCCCAGGCTAGAGTGCAGTGGCATGACCTCGGCTCACTGCAACCTCCATCTGCCGGTTCAAGTGACTCTTGTGCCTCAGGCTCTTGAATAGGTGGGACTACAGGGGCACACCACCATGCCTGGCTTTTTGTATTTTTAGTAAAGATGGGGTTTCTCCATGTTGGTCAGGCTGGTCTTGAACTCCTGAGCTCATGTAATCCACCCACCTCAGCTTTTTATTTTAAGACTTGGTTTATATCCTCTAATCTCATAAAGAATTTGATGGCTACTTAGTATAATTTTCACCATGGTATAGATTTTCATTTTATGCTATATTAGAAAGTTATTAAAATAATAAATTATATAATTTTAATACAGTATTTCCCAATACAAAATTACACTTTGTTATCTATGGTAATTAAAGCAAAGAAGCCAACATTCCAATTTTATCTGAAAAAAATTAGATGATGCACACGTAAAATAATATTCTATTAGTATGTCTTCTAATTTCTTCAAAAGGAAAAGTTCTAAGAGAAAAGTAAACAAAATAAAGTAGAACAAATGCTGTCCCAAAAAAAGGATTAAGATTCATAGAATATATATTTTTGCTAAAATGACATATATAAGATAAATTACTAATGATTGTAGGAGTTATTAATTATATTCAGAAAAAATATATCTTATATAAAGCTAAAATACAAAATGATTAAAACTTAAGCTGAATCTAATAGGTGATATCTACCAATCTTCTGTGCCCAAACTATATCTGGGGTCTTTTTTCCCTCAAAATACATTGCAAGGGCAGCACGGAGCTCAGAAATACATGAAAGCTACAAAATGGAAGGATAGTAAATAAGGCAGTACTTCTATAGCAAATGTTATCACTGCTATTCTTTTTTTAAGAAACATTATAAAACTTCATGGAAAGCTTTCTCCGTAATTCCTAGATTTATCATGGCCTTAGTTATATAAATTTAATATTATCAAAGAATGTGTCTATGGTAAATTGACTGTACTCTAGCAGTCCCTAATGTAGAAAAAGAAAGTAACCATAATATTTGAAATAGCAAAACAAAATCAAAATAAGATAAAATAGGCAAAGTCAAATTTAAAAGCTAAGCTATCCCATTGATACCTACCTCCTGTAAATGCCATTAGCCAGACATTTATGGCTACAGGATTTGGAAGAGAGGGGTGATGAAGTTGGGGACAAGTTGAGAGGGGCAATCAAACTGTTGATGATCTCAGTCAACTGTGCACTCTGCAAGGAAACAGTCAACCTTTTACTACTGCTAAGCAAGAAATGTGAGTTAAAGCTCAGATGTATAGTGCCAATTAATGCTTAACTTCTCATAACACATGTTTTTATTTTAGTAAATATTTTATTCAACAAAAATGATTTATACAACTGATTTTTCTATTTTTTACAAATAATCTACATTTTAAGTACATTCTTTTCCATATCCTTTTTTATTATAGTTCCTTCATCTACCCATCCCATCATGTAACATATTTAAACCCAGCTAATAGTATATAATATTTCTCTGGAGGCAGGAAAATTAGTAATTAAAAATCATAGATATAATTTATTAAGTGTCTACTATGTGCCAGGCACCATATAAGGCACCACATATAGAATACTTCTGATCTTTACAACTAACCTGCAAAGAAGATAATATTAGAGGTACTGATATCACTATTATTAATATCAGTACAGATGAGTAAATTCTAGCAAAGAAAGATTAAGTAGCTTGATCAAGTCTATAAAGTTGGTATGAAATGGAACCAGAATTCAAATTCAGGCCTAAATCTAACAGCACACTGTTCCTCAATATTTTTCCTAATTCGAAAATATCAGGGTTTTTTTTTAAGCACCTAAGATTTCTCTGACCCTTATCCCAAACTTAAATATTTGTAATAAATATTATTCTCAAAACAATCACAATTATAATAAGCAAAAGCCACAGAAAAAAGAGTACATTTCTACAACAAAATGACAACTATTTCTATTACACCTGTAATCCATGTTCATCATAGAAGAATTGGAAAATATAGACATTTTAAAAATGAAAAGAGTGTCATCTGTAATCACACATCAAAGAGAAAACCAGAGCTAACACTAGGTATATATTTCTCCCTCCATACTAAGTTTTCTGAGTATATGTCAGTATGAGTATACATTCAACATGCACACATATACTTTTATTTAAATCATGCTACATCAATTTCCTAAAACCTAGTTTTCCCACTTAATATAGTGTGACTAACTTTTAAAAAAAATACAGACCTAGTTCAACATTTTCAGTGTTGCAAGATACTCTATTGTGAAATAAAGGGGTATATAAAATAATTATTTTAGAACTCTTCATTTGTATGAAACTAATAACATGCTATTAGAAATAATAAAACTAAATAATAGAATAAAATTTAGCCTAATATTTTATCCCTTCAAAAAGTCTTTCATGAGAAAGACCTTAAAATGTTTTCACCATTTATTTTCTTGAAAGGCTATGTTATTTAAAAAATTGTTATTCAGTTTCTAGATCAAAGCTCATTTTTATTTTTATTTATTTATTTTTTTTTGAGATGGAGTCTTTCTCTGTTGCCCAGGCTGTAGTGCAGTGGTGCGATCTTGGCTCACTGCAGCCTCTGCCTAACAGGTTCCAGCGATTCTCCTGCCTCAGCCTCCCAAGTAGCTGGGATTACAGGTGCACGCCACCATACCCAGCTAATTTTTGTATTTTCAGTAGAGATGGGGTTTCTCCATGTTGGCCAAGCTGGTCTCAAACTCCTGATCTCAGGTGATCCACCCACCTTGGCCTCCCAAAGTGCTGGGATTACAGGCATGAGCCATCGCATCCAGCCGAAGCTCATTTTTAAAATCACCAACAGAAATGGATTCTTTATCATTTAGCAAGTAATCATTAGTTATGCAAATAAATTCTGAAGTATCTCATACTTTCTGGTTGGAAACACTAAAACACTCTTGTCATTGTTCCACCTCCAAAAAACATCATCTAAAATATTTAAGCAACTGGAAGTCACTCGCTGGGTATATGTGAATACTAGGCCAAGAAGGGGGAAATTACAACCCCTATCTTTACCCTAAGAATCAGCCTACTCTGGCCCAATAAATTCTTGCATACGTGAGTCATATGGGAAATACAGAGAATAGGAAAGTCACGGAGAAAATGTGAGTAAGAAAAGTAAAATTAAGAGAAGCATAATTTGAACTCTGAAAATAAAAACGAATCAATTATAAGTTAAAACACTAGCTATTCATAACAAGATTTATAATATAAATACGCCAGTAGCAAATTCATTTTAAATCATTTAAGCAAAAGTCTCCAACCCCCGGGGCTACTAATGGGTACCTATCCTTAGCTGGTAGAAACCAGGCTGTACAGCAGGAGGTGAGCACAGGGCCAGCAAGAATTACCACCTGAGCTCTGCCTCCCATCAGACCATCCACAGCACTAGATTCTCATAGGAGCATGATTCATACTGTGAATTGCACGTGCAAGGGATCTAGGTTGCGTGCTCCTTATAAGATTCTAATGCCTGATGATCTAAGGTGGAACAGTCATCTTGAAACCATCCCCCCACCCCTACCCTGTGGAAAAACTACCTTCCATGAAACCAGTCCTGATGCCAAAAATGTTGGGGACAGCTGACCTAAAGTACTAAAAATAAGGTATTAATACTTTTCAATTTATGAACTATATATTATCTAACAATGCAAGCATGTATTAATACTATGAATCAATAAGTTATTTTTAAGTGAGTCTACAACTCAATAATGCCTTTCTTTATATTTTAACTTCTAACTCTAACAAAATTACTTTAGTCAAGTCAAAAGATTATGAATGAACAGTTATATATCAGTAGATTATCCTAAGAAAACCATGCATAGTAACAGGCTTGCCATCCCTACCACTTAACTCACTCCTAGACTGTCTTCCTCAACAATTTTTGTTTCAGACAGTGTCTTGTTCTGTTGTCCAGGCTGGAGTGCAGTGGTACTATCCAGCCCACTGCAACCTTTGCCTCCCGGGCTCAAGTGATCCTTCCACCTCAGCCTCTTGAGTAGCTGGGACTACAGGTATGTGCCACTAAGGCCAGCTAATTTTTGTATTTTTTGTAGAGATGAGGTCTCCCTGTGCTGACCCAGGCTGGTCTCAAACTCCTGGGCTCAAATGATATGGCCACCTCTGCCTCCCAAAGTGCTTAGATTATAGGAATGGGCTACCATGTCCGGCCAGCAAGTATTTAAAAACAACGTAAGGTTTTAAAACTTGGCCTATAAAAAGTATTATTACTATGTTTCAAGAACAAATGACTTGTTCATAGGCAATTTATTAACAACCTCTACAAGTAATTGCTGCTGCCTCTTTCTGTATCTTTTTCTTCTGTTCTCTTTACGTGGAGCCATTACTACTATCACAACTCCTGGTTCCCTATACTATCAAAGCCATCTGCAATGAGACCTAAAATGCTACTCAGGGCCAGCTTCATGGGCAATTTCCATCTGCAATGAGACCTAAAATGCTACTCAGGGCCAGCTTCATGGGCAATTTCCATCTGCAATGAGACCTAAAATGCTACTCAGGGCCAACTTCATGGGCATGCAACCTGTGCACCAGGCTGACTGCAGATGGGGGCTATGCTTGCTTAGTGCTCTGCTGTCACTGTCTTTAAATTAATAATTGTTTTTAACAAAGGGCTCCACAATTTCATTTTGCACTAGAATCTGCAAATTAGGTAGTTCTGATGTCATCTCAGGTCCAACCTAAAAAACTAGGGATACCAAGGAGAAACAAAAAGGTGTAAGAAATCTCTTTTACAAATGAAAATATCTTAGAATTAATTTAATCAGATTATAAATTCCAATAAATAAGTAGTGACCTAAAGATGGTGAAAGTAGATTTGACTGAGTAAGCAAATAAATTACTCTAGAATGTGAAACAACTAGGATCAAACTGAATGAGGGTTGATCATATTGGATGAGGGGAGGGAAAAGAAAGAGGAAAGTGGGAATATAGAAATATAACAAAAACTAATTTAAATCACTGCTTATATTGTCAAGTGCATTAGAATTTGACATCAATTACCAAACTGCTTTCTAAATTACAAAATATTCATAAGTGCTTTGATTACACATTTCAATTAAGAAAAACTCAGGGCAATTATAAATTTAACAAATACAGGGTGGAAGAAATTATACCATATTTTGATTTACCAGGAATAAGACGGTAACCTGTATTTAATTATTATGGCATGTCAGAAAAACCCAAGGAAATTAGATGCAGGCAGGCATGAATCTGTATCATTTCCCAGAGCAACAATGTAATGATGCACCTATGGTCAAGAATGGCTCTGCTTTAAGTAACAAAATCCTAGAAACCGAGTTTCTTTAAGAGCCACCAAAGTCTAAATCAAAATAAATTGTTTGATTTCCAAGGTCAGATACAGGATAGATTGGCCAGAATAATTAAACTTGTGTAGCTATCCACAATAGAATCTAGATACCAGAGAAGGCTTTGGAATCAAAGTAATTATTAGGAGCTTTTTTGACTTTCCATTTACATAATCATTTTTTATGAAGAAATCCATATTCCAATATTATCTTTCACTAAAAATCTTGATCAATAAATTAGTCAAACCACCATTCAGATGTATTAACTGGTACCACTGCTCTCTCTCCTTGAAAAAAGTCCAATGATAAACAATTTTGTTAGAAAAAGGATTTTCCGATCCCTGTAAAAATAAATTATCATAGTCTAGCAATACCAATACCAATACTTTACATATTAAGTAATTTTAATTATATTGGTAGTATCATGGAGACTGGTCAGATGTCAAATATTTTAATTGTATTTACTGCCAAATGGCCTGGTTTAATAACCCATATGCCAGGAAGATACACATACAATGATGTTTATTTGAATAGTTTATAAAATCAATGAAAAGTTATTTCATACCACTGATACCCTTACTTTGACTTTACCTGTTTTTCGATGTTTCGAAGAAGTAAAGTAGGGCTGCTTGGTGACATTTCAAAATCTTGTTCTGGTACAGGATCTTGACACTCATGGGGAACCTGAGGATTCCCTAGAATGTTTAGTGAAGCTGCTTGGTCTGCAAATTGTATTTGTTTTTTCAAAATGTCTTTTGGAAGTTGACATTCTTCTAGGACCACTATCCCCTAGACAAAGAACAACGAGAAAGTTGAAATGAAAACTGATTACTAAATCACCTTTAATGCTACAATGCACTTGAATCTATGCTTCCTCTTATCCCTTGGAATTCAGAAAACATAAACTTGAAAGAATAGTTTAACTCTGTGAAGAATTAGCTGGTTTAAAACATGTGCAGCTATAATAACATGTATGGCTGATAGGTTGGACTTGTAAATATTTTTTTAACTTAAATACATGCAGTTTTTTAAAATTAGTTTTAATTATTGGCATTAAAACCATGACATATTAAAATAAAATTAAAGGCATATTATACACAGAATATGGACATTTCAGATTGAAATCCAGAACATTTCCTGATAGAATCTTCTGATATTTTGGTTACTAGCATATCTATTTGTATTTTACATTTGAGTACTCCCAATTTTATAAATTAAAATACCAAATTTACAAACATCCAAACAACAATCTAACTCTATCCTAACTCCTTTCAGAGCACCCTAAGGAGCCGTGCCCCTGCTGCTATCAGCCAGCAACCAGGGATAGGACTGTACCACCAAGAAAAAGTACTCTCTGGGCCAATCAGAGTTCTCGCTGCTTTCAGGGTTGCTGTGTTAATAATAAAGACACAAGCTTTCAATGTTGATGGAGTATATTCTGAATTGTAAGGAACTAGGGGAATGAGTAGGGATCAAGTTGTCTCTGTACTCCCTGCCTCCTACTCACAAACATACTTATTCCTCAACTGGTTTGCTCGGCTTTCTCCTCCATTCCCCAGCTTCCTCACTCCAACTGTTCTCAACCTGAGGTTCCTCAGAGGCAATGGAGACAACAGAGAAAGAGAAAAAGGAGTGCAAAGGCATGATCTTAATGGTTTCATAGTCAGTTCTCATTGTAAAACTTCTTTCCTTCCTCTCTCTTCTACCACCCTTCCCCCTGAAAATAATACAGTAATATATATTGTATATATATTATACATACATAGATATTATATATGTTTTACATATATACTGATATTACATATATATACATACAGGTTTTACATATATAATATATATAATATATATTTGAAAATATATATATTTGAAAAATGCTAATAAATTCCTATAGGCTAGTTGGAAAAGTATTATACTCCTAATGTGGCTAAAATACTATATTCTTGTAATAAATATTAAACTAACATATTAATATTAGTGTGCATTATTTTAAAAAATGGAATGAACTAAATAATTGCCGTGGGCCACCAAATCATGTTTATAAGATGGAAACTGCCTATAGATAATAATGTGTTATATAAGTTTTAATTTACACTATATAATTTAGAGAATATATAACTTTAGAATGCAAATATTCAGTTATGGTATTAAATGTATATTTTATTATTTCATAGTAACATACTTTTGGTAAAAGTAGTAAATGCACTTTTTTTTTTTGAGACAGTCTTGTTCTGTCACCAGGCTGGAGTGCAGTGGCACAATCTCGGATCACTGCAATCTGTGCCTCCCGGGTTCAAGTAATTCTCCTGCCTCAGCCTCCTAAGTAGCTGGGACTACAGGCACCTGCCACCACGTCTCGGCTAATTTTTGTATTTTTAGTAGAGACGAGGTTTTACCATGTTGGCCAGGATGGTCTTGATCTCTAAACCCTGTAATCCACCCTCCTTGGCCTCCTAAGTGTTGGGATTACAGGCATGAGCCACCATGTCCAGTTTAAATGCATTTCTTTTTTTACAAAATCTACAATTAGAATAGTGCTAATATGCTGACTTTTCCAAGGAGAAGGGGATTTATTTGAACCCAATTACTGTTTTCTTAGAATGAATAAATGGGGCTTTCATGAAATCTGAAGAAACATGTTCAAAAGTTCTTTTTTCATTTGGTATTTTAAAAATTAAATTAGATATAATAGATAAAATATCAATCTGAAAAGCTCCCGAGAGTACCCATTCAAAATTTCTACAACTCTCTCTCCAGGTTTCTCACAAGTACCTGCATGTAAAAGGAACATAAGTTTCCACCTTATCAATTTAACTGCAATTGTATTTGGTTTGATTATGGTTTATATTATGGACCAGTCTGTATAGATAGGCCTGATTTTATAATCCCTATTTATGAATCTGCATCTATGGGAAAACTCTATTTTGAATTTCAAAGTTCTATTTCCAAACCTTTAGAATACTACCTTTCTGTAAGTAGAAAGCCCGCTATAGTTAGTTTAATAAAGAATGATATTTTAAAAATTTTACCAGTGAGACAGAGCATGGTGGCTCACACCTGTAATCCTAGCACTTTGGGAGGCAGAGGCGGGTGGATCACTTGAGGCCAGGGATTCAAGACCAGCCTGGCCAACAGATCAAAACCCTGTCTCTACTAAAAGTACAAAAAATTAGCCAGGCATCGTGGCACATGCCTTTTGTCCCAGCTACTTGAGAGGCTGAGGCACAAGAAATGCTTGAACCCAGGAGAAGGAGGTTGCAGCGAGCTAAGATCACAAAACTGCACTCCAGCTTGGGTGACAGAGACTGTCTTAAAAAAAAAAAAAAAAAATCAAATTCAACCAAGGATACCTTCATATTTAACTTCATAATCCACTTTTCCCCCCACAAACTATTACTCTGAACAAAACTCTTGGAGTATAAGGAGAGTGGCCCATTCTGATCCATCACTGCTAAGCATGGAGAAGAAAGGGTTGCAGATTTAATCTTCTGGGGACAGAACACAGAGTTAGTTTCTCTTCTTAAAAAAATTAGTAAAAGGATAGTCTGATAGGTCAAACAACATAGATAACAAAGATATAAATATTTCTTAGAAAAATGAGTAACTGAAACAAGTGAAAACTCTAACATAAGATGAAAGCAAATCAACTGTTTCTGAGAAGACAACTGCTCCTGACAATGCAGGGTCTTCAGAGAAAACACTGTGTGAGAAAAGAACTGCCTCAGCAACATCTCTATTATTCACATAAACTCACCAAAGCTAATTTTAAGCAACAATTTAAATAAAAAATTTAAAACACATAAAAGGTACAATTTAAAATGTGGAAGCCCCTACTGCAGGATAACAAAAGAAATCTAAGAGAAACCCTTTGATATAGCCACTATTCTCCCAAGAAAAATATTTCAATTTTTTTTCCAAATATGACAAGAATCTGTTGTTTTATTAGAAAGCTGAAGTGGGGAGAAGAGGAAATACAGGAATGTATAATATATGGACCAAGTTATCCCAAGAACCACCAAAGGATGTTGCTAATAACTGCCTTCTTCTCCTCTCTAAAAATTTAAGCAAAATTTAGATCGTATAAGAATGGTAAAGGGGCAAATTATATATTTTCTGACTTAAGGCACAAACTAGCACTTATTTAAACAGGATATTTACAAAATAGCATCTCTCGATCTCTTTCCCTTCTCATTATCTCTAATTTAACTGAGAACATTTTTTTTTTTCCATTCAACATACATTAAACAGAAAGTTCTGTTTCAATACAGTACTGGCCATCCTTCTCAATTTTTTTCTTATAATAAGTCAAGAAGCTATAAGAACAAGGAAAGTGATATTTTTCCTATATAATAACATCTCAACTAAGCTGCATATGAACAACTAAACACTTTGATTAATTCCTAATTAATGTATTCCTACATTAATGTAATGTAAACAACTAAAATAACCCAAAAAAGTATTCTAATAGCATAATTTTCTGGCATTTTCCATTAAATAAACATAATGCTATTCTTAAAAAACAAAGGTCCAGATACACATTTATCCTGAATTAAGAAAAAGGTAAGGCCATATAAATCATTACAGGAAAGTTTAGATGTTTTTTCTTAAAACAATTTATTCTAATAGATGTTATATAAACACGCAATCAAAGTTTAAAAGAATTTAGACAAGAAGTATACCGTACCGCTTAGAAAATATAGAATATTAAAATATACTTTCTCAAATTAAAGGTTTATGAATCAGACTCTCTAAATTGAAATATAAATCTTATTTATCAATTGAACTGCAAACCCACTTTCTTGGAAATATCAAATTTGTTTTACTTTTGACTCATTCTTAGAACTCTATTTGCTATTTTAAAAATGTGTGAAATTATATCCTTTAAAGAAAATAATCAAAGAGGAGAGATTATGCGGTGATCTTGAAAGGACTGAGAAATTACTAAAACTGAAGGCTCCTGTAAAGATAATAGTGAATGCTGGGCGCAGTGGCTTACACCTGTAATCCCAGCACTTTGGGAGTCCAAGATGGTGGATCACTAGGTTAGGAGTTCAAGACCAGCCTGGCCAAGATGCTAAAACCCCGTCTCTATTAAAAATATAAAAATTTGCCAGGCATGGTAGTGTGCGCCTCTAATTCCACCTATATGGGAGGCTAAGGTAGGAGAATCGTTTGAACTCAGGCAGTAGAGGTTGCAGTGAGCCAAGATTGTGCCACTCCACTCCAGCCTGGGTGACAAAGCAAGACTCTGTCTCAAAAAATGAAAATAAAAAAATTTTAAAAACCTGGGCACAGTGGCTCATGCCTGTAATTCCAGCACTTTGGAAGGCTGAGGTGGGCTGATCACAAGGTCAGGAGATCGACACCATCCTGGCCAACACGGTGAAACTCCCGTCTCTACTAAAAATACGAAAATTAGCTGGGTGTGGTGACACTTGTCTGTAATCCCAGCTACTCGGGAGGCTGAGGCAGGAGAATCACTGGAACTAGGAAGTCAGAGGTTGCAGTGAGCTGAGATTGCGCCACTGTACTCTAACCTGGCAACAGAGCGAGACTTTGTCTCAAATAAATAAATAAATAACGGATGACAGTGAACAATGAGAAAAAGTAACTGAAGCAATATGAAACTTCTATCAGGAGACACTTATTGAACGTGGTTCCCTCAAATCTCACAGAACTAGTAAGCCAAAGGTTTTAGGTCTATCCTCCTTCCTTCTTTCCTACAGACACCACTAATAATTCCTACAAGGTGTTAAACAAATTTCATCACTTCCTAGCTTCTTCTCTCCTTG